CAAAAGAGCATCCAGTCTACTAAAACAAAGAAAAACCATCACTGGTATTTTTATTTCTAAATGTCCCAGCAGTGCCCCATAAGCAATGACCTTTTTTTTCTTTCTTTTTTTTTTTTTTTTTTGATTGACACAAAAGAGCATCCAGTCTACTAAAACAAAGAAAAACCATCACTGGTATTTTTATTTCTAAATGTCCCAGCAGTGCCCCATAAGCAATGACCTTTTCATTTAACTCTGTTTAGGGTTTGATGCCTATTTTACGTCCCGCACACTTGAAAACAACAGAAGAAATGTATGGTTTGCTGAATACTGGGAGGAAAACTTCAACTGCAAGTTGACGATTAGTGGGTCAAAGAAAGAAGACACAGATCGCAAATGCACAGGTAATTTCATTCTAGTTGTCCTTCTCCTGGTACTCTACGTGGCCATCACTGAAATGTCTGCATAGCTGACAGAAGGAAGCTTGGCTGGAGACAAATTGAAAAAGTAAATTGAATTTTACTAGATTGTTCAGAAAATGGAACAGGAGCATAAGTCTTTCAGGACAAGAGTAGAACAGACAAAATTGTATTCTTTTCTGCCTGCCCATCTAGCAGTAATTGACATTTTCATTGATTCTTGGAATTCAAAAGGTCCTGTTGCTTTGAATGTTCTCAGTGATAAATATTAGTTCATGTTTTAGCCAGGAGTATGAAGTCATTTTCACATAGACGAAAATCCAGCAAATTCCCTATCAGCACCGGATTTAACTCTTATCGTGGACCATACTGTGTATTTGATTAAAGAAACAAGATACTTGGGTTTAGAGTAATGAGAATTCCAGTGGATTTCCATAGCATCCAAGTTAATGAGTCACCTGCTATTTAAAATATGCTTAAAAATACTTGGGAGGGGGCACCTGGTTGGCTCAGTCAGTAGAGCATGTGACTCTTGATATCGGCGTCATGAGTTTGAGCCCCATGTTGGACTTAGAGTTTACCTAAAAAAATACATAGGCAGCCTTGTAGGTAACCTTGCATAATTATTCCAAATTAAAAAATGTGTGTGTATGCCATGCATATATATGTACATGTATGAAGTAGTCAGAAGATAAAATTAAACATTCATTGGTGTATTCACAAATATTTATTGAGCAACTCCTTCCTGTTCACAATACTAGGCACTGTGATCTGATGGTAAGCAAGCCAGGTAAAGACCTGGCTTTCATGCTGCTCAGAGGACAGTGGGGGAAAATTGATGTTATCCCTGTGATCTCTCCATGAATACATAATTATAAACTGTAATAAGCATTCTGAGGGTTATATGGGCCTATAACTAAGAAGTTTCACTTACATTGAAGGCAGAAGCTGTCTCAAAAGACCTTCTTGAAGAGCCGGTAGGCATTGGCTAGTTAGAAAGGGGGAAGGGCAGATAGAATTTCTCATGGAGGAATAACATGACAAAGGGCTTGTAGCAGGAGCAATTATGGTGCCTCTGAGGACATAAAAAACAGAACTACCTGACTGAAGTACAGTGAATAGGACGAATGTGTGAGCTGAAGCTGCTAGTGTAGAGATGTGGACAAGGAATAAACCACGTGGGGACATACGTGGAATTTGGTCTTTACCGTAAGCTTACTGATACCAGCGGCGGCGGTGGTGGTGGTGGTGGTTACAGAAGCATGTGACATGTTCCACCATCTTACCACCTAGCCCTGTATTACATAGCAATACCCAGTTTCATACTTCAGTAGCCTTGATCATTTGTAGTGATGACCTTGAAATACCACAAAACGCTAAAATGTTATTCTAAATGATCTAAAAAACTCACTCATTCGGATATACTGATACTTAGTTTATCTTTGCAGTGTGGGTCTTTGAATATTGGTCATCCAGATACGGTAGATTGGCCTATTCAACAGACACCTATTAATGAGGAATAATGCATGCAAACCATGGTCCTAAACACATCAGGAATGGTGTGAATATGCCTTTTCCTCAAGGTGTTTTTGTGAAGGAGAAGATAGGAACAGAGCTATGAGTAAATATAATGATACAAAATCAATATTACATAATTAGATAAATAACTCAGTAAATTACAATACCAGATGAACTATATTCTCTATGCCATGGTATATAGCAACAGTGTTTTCAGAAATATGATCTTTATAATATTGAAGGGAGGGAGAAAAAAATTACTTCAATGTTGACTAGACCTGGGTGAAACAAAACTCTCAAGAGGAAACTGAAAAAAATTAGTTTGCCATCTGGATAATTTGTCTATATGACAAGGAACATCCAGGTACACTAGAAGTATCTTGATTAATGATAGCAGTTTTTTGGTTTCTTCTGACATTTTGTGTTCTGTAGAGTCTGGAAGGTGGAATGGATTGTCTTGTGGCCATTAGGATTGTTCTAAGGCCAAGCCCCACACTTTTAATGTTTTGACAACACTGTTTTATCTGTAATCCCATTTTCATGCTGATCAGCAAGAATTGGGGTTCATAAAAACAAGCTCATTATCCAAATCATTATCTTTCAAAAATGGATATAGAAGTGTTTTTTTTTTTCATATCCCATTCATTCCATGTAAAAAAAAATCTGTGATCACATTTACTAAATTATCTGTGACCCAAAATTATTTCAATACTGTCTCTGCCCTCTTTCCTTCCTTACCACTTTTACCATTGTAAGATGTGCCCTACTGAGTGAAGATAAACACTACTAACCTCATTGTGTCCCTTATTCCTGTCACTGGATATGAGAACATGGGTGGTCGTGTGTTTGTTTCTTGTACCGCCTTTCCCCAAATCCAGTGAATCCCATATTCTGCTTTGGAAGTATTCACAAATTACTTTAGACCTTTAGAAACAGTTGACCCTTGAACAACATGGGTTGGAACTGCACGGGTCCACTTAAACAGATTGTTTTCTATAGATACAGTACTATAAATGTATTCTCTTAAAATTTCCTTAACATTTTCTTTAGAATACTTTGTTAGAGTACAGTATGTAATACCTATAGCATACAAAATATGTGTTCATTGACTGTGTTACTGGTAAGGCCTCCTTGCAACAGTAGGCTATTAGTAAAGTTTTTGGGGAGTCAAAAGTTACAGGTGGATTTTGACTATGCAGGGGTTGACACCCCTAACCCCCCATGTGCTTCAACTTGGAAGTGGAATGATTGGAGAAAAAGCATGCTGAGAGGGAAGGAAGAGATGGAGAGAAGTGACAGATTGAATTGTATTGATAAGAGTTCTTGAGACCATGGTGAGAAATTAAGTTTTAATGATGGAAAAGAGTGGATGGGAGAGGGGAGTTTTGATGGGCTTAAGGATGTAGATGATAAAAGGGAAAGATGCTTTGGTAACCAGGTTTAGAAACACAGAAAGAATGGTCACATTGGAAAGAAATAACCCAATGAGGAAGCAGGCTCAGAAGTCTGGCACTGAAGACAGCAAGTCCGGCTCTAGACAGCATAGACAGTGGATGTTCTGAGGACCGCAGAGAGCAACCCACCTTGCAGATCTCCCTCTATGACTGGGTTCTGCTAAAGAATAAGAAAGTCTTAAAATACTCCTAGGATTTGGGCACAAATTAAAATGCCAACTTGTTTTTCTATATCTTTTTACATAGCCTTTTTAGCCATAATGAGGTATTTATTATATATTAGCTCCAAGTAGATGATCGATGAGTCAATCACCTGGCCAGACAAGCTTTGAAGGTGAGGTGTGGGTCCCATACTAGTTGGAGAGAGCAGATTTCTGCAGTCAGGGAATAGCAGTGAGTTCTGAAAAGCCAAGGTGGTAAAAAGTCATGGAAGGAAGAATAACTGATGAAAAAAATGATATATTATTAAACTGTGTATACTTCATAATTTAACTTGGAGCTAGATGTGCCTGAATTCTTATAGAAACTTACCTAAACAAATGGGCTATTTTTATTCCTATAAATTATCCATATGCATTTAAATGCATATGTTTGTCTCCTTCAAATATTTTAAGAACATCCAGCTTTGCTTGATACCCAATTCCTAGTTCTCTCAACCTTAAGAGCTAGTCATTCTTCATCCTACCTTCCCTGGTGATTCCCTAATTTTTACTGATACAGACTAAGATTTGCTGGTGACCCATCCTGCTCATGGATTATCTTGACTGACATCCCCCAAGGGGACATACAGTTAAGTTTTTTGGTGGTTTAAGCTTTCACAGAAAGCACAAATTCTTGACAGATACTATGCTGTTTCATAGTAGACCTAGATTTTGTCAGGGACATAGTGCTAGCTACACACATACTAAAGTCCTTCTAGATACTTCCAGAATAAAGTAAGTTCTTCTAGATACATTACAGAATAAAGTCCCTCTCAATACTTCCAGAAGTATACTTCTAGACTATTCGTTGTTTGAGGGCAGAAAGCTCAGATGTGATTTTTCTTTTTTGTGCTTCCCAACTCCCACCTCACTAGCTCAATGTGTTTACCCTTAACACTTGCCAGTATATTGTTGACACAAAGACCAGTTTAGAATATGATCTTTTTGGGAATGACATGTTTTTATGGAGATACCAAGGTTAAGGAAAGAAGGAAAAGTATACAGGTGGTGATATCCCTGAAAAAGAGATTTGAGACCATCCTGGAGTGCAGAAAATCACTCTAGCAAAGTGTTTAAGAAACCAGAGTTTTTGGCATAAAAGAGGCCTGGGTTTGTGTTTTAGAGCTATCCCTGAATGCTCCCATGAGAGATTGGACATTATTTAATTTCTCAAAGTCTTTTCTCATCTTTGAAATTGGAATAATAAAGCTTTACACCTTAAGTTGTTGTAGGGATTACATTAGATAACTTACAGAGGAACTAAAATGATACTGGCATATTAAAGCTCAGTAATGGTGGGGCGCCTGGGTGGCTCAGTCGGTTAAGTTTCTGCCTTCGGCTCAAGTCATGATCCCTTCGTCCTGGGATTGAGCCCCACATTGGGCTTCCTGCTCAACGAGGATTCTGCCTCTCCCTCTCCTTTCTTCCCTCTGTCCCCCGCCTCTCGTACTTGCTCATGTACTCGTGCGCTCTCTCTCAAATAAAATCTTTAAAAAATAAATAATAAAGCTCAGTAATGGTAACAATTACCTGCCATTTGGAGCTGAATGCAGTTGCCTGTGAGGGTTTCATGAAGATCCTATTGTCACATGTTAGTGATACAGAAAATCAGGGTGTATATCAAATCCTTTCAGGGAATTGAATAAGCATGTAAATATAGACAGAAGTTTTTCATTGGGATACACATTGTACAGTGATGTAAGGAGGTATCCAAAGTTTACAGACAGGCGGCATGCAACTTCATGCTGTGATGGAATATGAAGCTCAGGGTTTCAAGAATTTCAGTGCCATAATGTAGAGTGTATGTCTAAGC